TGGGGGGCTGAAGGAGACTGAAGGAAAGCGCTCGGCTCTGTGTTGATGTTGGTTTAGTGGCCAAAGTCCAGACCGCAGGCCACACGTGCTGCATGTTCCGCTGTGTCTCTGCAGCATGGTGCAGCAATGCTCCATCACAGGGTGTTTTCTCTAGTTCTTATCCCAGAGTGGACACTTTCTGTTTGCCTGATAGAACCTCTAACGTAGGCAGGGTGATCAGCTTTAAAGGTCACACATCATGCAAGATGCACTTTTTGATGTCTTTTATACATAAATATGTGTTCCCGGTGTGTAAGGAGACACAAAGTGTCAGAAAATAAATCCCTTTCTCTTTTTCTCCTTACCCACCTCTCTAAAAATGGGGGACAACGAAGCTGATCCAGATTTGCTGCAGTCATGACGACATTACTCAAATGTGGGCTGGCTTTACGCCCACGGAAACGTTGCTATCAGAAACAATGAGACGTGTTTTGGAAGTAATATGGTCTTTGTTTGGTCTTTGATGCAAGCATCGCTAACACTCAGAGCCAGGAGCGCCGTAAGGGGGTGAAAAGTTAGGATGATTCTAAGGGCCCGTGACTGACAGGGGCCCAAACAATTTTAGAACATTAAGAAAAAAAGGTTTAAGTAACCAATGTGATATATTTTCATGGGGCCCAACATCCCTGGTGGCGCCCCTGCTCAGAGCTAACGCTGTACTGGAGAGAGTATGTGTAAAGAAGCCGGATATGAAAGGAACTCACCTTGTGGTAAACCTGCGATAGAGAAAGTGTTTGAGCTCCATACTGTTTCAGAAATAATGCTTGATGTGGTTTGGAACATAATATGGCGTTTCATCACGGCAGCGTTTAGCTGAGTTTCTGCTGGTAGACAGCCTTCTCTTCACAGAGCTCACTGCTTGCATGTGGATCCTCCAAAGGGGCGTGGCCAGCAGCAGCTTGATTACATTTAAAGGGCCAGACCCAGAATCAGCACTTTAGTAACAGGGCTGAAATAGAGGGGTATGAGGCACGCTCCAATGAGAGATCTGTTTGGTATTTTAAGAAAAACACTTCAGAGACATGTTTTTTATATGAAACCTATAATATATGCCTAAAAATAGTATAATAGGAGACCTTTAAGATTTGGCTCAGCTCGCTTGGCCGAGTTGATATGAAATAAAAATACCACTACTATTCATATTTCCCTAATGGGATGCAAAAGAAGAGCGGGTAAAAGTAAAGCTGTATCCTGCAGTGGAAACAGCCCTCTCTCCAATCACTGCAAAACAAATGGCGGCAAGAATTGGAAAATGTACTCTTTTTAGTTCAAATCATCTGACCCATCAGGCCAAATGCACAATGCATTAAGAAAGCTGCTAATTTCTACTTAACAAGCTTCACATCTAACCCTAAGTGCTTATTATGATACCGCTCATCAGGAGGTCAGATATACCACTAGTGCAACATGATGTGTCCAGAATGTGCTCTTGGGTTTAAAAACACCTGACTTCTTTCTGGCTTGTAAACGCTCTGTGTATTTACCTGGATGGTTCCTTAAACAAACCCTTTCCCCCCTTCTCTCTTCTGTAAATAACTCTGTAATTCTCCTTCCTCAGGTTGCTGGAGACGAGGAAACGCCGGGGGCTGCTCAGTCAGAGAGTCCCAGAGGGGAGGAACCCATCAACCTTCAGCTGACCAACGCCTACGAGTATGGCCAGGCCCTGAACGGAGCACGCTGCAGCGGGAACACGGCGGCCTGCGCGGCCCTGTTGGCCTCAACCCCCCCCGAGAGGCTTCCCCACTTCCTAAGCACCCAGCTGGATGGGAACACCATCAGCTTCATCATGCAAGCACTGGACTCACACCTCCTGGAGAAAGACCCCCACCTGGTGTACCAACACCTCCATCATCTGCACACCGCCCACAGGTTTTCGGTGAGATGCTTCATATAAGTCTTTGTAATTTAGCAAAATCACATCTCCCGGGTTGGAAGGGACGGACAGACAGACAGACAGACAGACAGGCAGGCAGGCAGGCAGGCAGGCAGACAGGCAGACAGACAGGCAGGCAGGCAGGCAGGCAGGCAGGCAGGCAGACAGACAGACAGACAGACAGACAGACAGACAGACAGACAGGCAGAGAGATAGACAGACAGACAGACAGATAGATAGATAGATAAATAGATAGATAGATAGATAGATAGATAGACAGATAGATACTGTAGATAGATGGATTAGTGATCCCAATTTGGGAAATTATTTTGTTACAGAAGCATCAGTGTTTGGACATTAAAATTAATATACTTAAAAAGTGGAATTGAGAATTAACAATGTATTCCGTTACAATTACAAATGTTCACTCTGTAAGTGTAAGAGAAAAGTTTACAGATCTTCTCCTAACTACGTCATTCCGTTACATATGATATTTTTTTCCCCAAGCCTGCATATTTCCTTACATAGATCACCACGACGACTATTGAATTAAAACACGTTTTTGTGCTTTGTGTGGTTTTGGTGATGAAATGCTGTGTTTTTGATCAGGTTGTATTGATGCTGCTGGAGAAGGACGAGCGTCGCCACATGACCCAGCTGTTTGAGCATCTGTCTGCTGTGCAGAGCGCAGAGTTCACTAAGAACGATGTCCAGAATCTGGCCAACAAGTACATCTGACCCCCCAAATCCCCTCCCCTCCCCCCCGCTGCATGAGCATCTGCACCACGACAACTCTTGGATCTATGCAAAACGATGCACAACAACTGAGTCCACAGAAAGGAAGCTGCAGAAGGCGCCCCGGTGGAACGTGTTCACTGCTGTGCTGTAGATGAACTGATCACTGTATGTTTAAGTGACAATAAGGGATACATTTTTCTGCCCAGAACATTTTGCTATGCAGATTTACTTTTGTACCACCATTTGCATTGTACAACATCAAGGCAGTGCGATAATATGGACCTTTCACTTTAGTGTATTGATACAAATGTCACTTTAGTGTATTGATAAAAAAAGGTCCAATGTACAATTTCATGCAACGCTACAGGCACGTGTTCCCCTCTCAGAACTGGCTCATGTTCCCCGGAAGGAGTCCTTTGTTATCGAGCTTCATTCAGACAGCAGCTGAAATCAGAAATGATATTTACCGGTAGTTCTGGGTGAATAGAGCCAAGGAACATGTGAGCTCATTTGCTACTGAACTAAGAAAGGTCTCTGTTGCTTTGGGTTTAATCCATAAGATAAATTAAGAGTTTTATTTTGACCATATGATCTGTGTGGGGGAATGGACCTGCTTTCATTGCTCTTCTGTATCAGTATCTGTTGAACTGATATAAACTGACAGTGTTGTAGGAAACAAGATTCCAATGTCAAGAGTCAAAGGCAGTTTGTTGTCTCATGTCCATAAGGAATGGCAGGAAGTCATTCACCCATTTGTTTACCAAATGAGCCATGCAGATTTAACCTGGAGAGAAGCAGCATCTTTAGGAGAAGTTCCTTAGACTTCAGGCAGGGATGAGTGTGCAGATACTTCTAGAAAAAGAGTATATCTATATCACTTTTTAATGGTTTGGATTTATGCATAATAAATCATACGTATATTCACTAAGCTACATGCGCGTAATTGTTTGAAATATGTCATTTATTTGCTAACTTTCAATGTTTAGTATTTCATTATTGAACATCCCAGTCAAGGTTTTACAAATTCTACATGAATGTACCAAATGTAGTCAAGGGTGACAAGAGGCAATAACTTCACATGTTCCAGTTTCTCCTCACTGCAGTTTGAACGTACTTCAATAGAGATGTATTAACAATGAGTAGTGTTCACAGAGGGCTGTTCAATCAACTGGGGAAATGTTTTCTTCTCTGTGCTAAGGTGAAATGAAATAAATAAAAATAAAATGGATTAACAGTGCTTGCATTGCCTGATAAACAGAGGACAGGACAAGAATAATTCATATATATTCTTTATTTTTCTGATATGCATATAGTAAAGCAAATTACCAAACAAATACCTTATGCCATTCTGCACAAATTACAAATGATATCTGGCACTAGTGTGGAAATTAGGATCAAGAAAAGTGAAGTTTTGGTAAAGAATGAGAAACGAACCCAGGGAGAAAAAAACAAGACAACATGTTTGCTTTAATGGGGGGGAAGGACTGCAGCATTTAGCCTTATCAACTGAACCATAACCAGTGATCATTCAGTAACAGACCTGGGTCAACATACCATCCAAGATGCTTTGAGCTTCCTGCTAGAGGTTCACCTGAGCGGCTCAGGGTAAAGCTGACCACTGAGCAGTGAAGACAGGCTTTAGCAAAGTGTTGAAAACTGAATTTGACTTCAAGTCTGCTCAGCAGCACCGATTGGCAACACAAACAGAAGTCACAGTAAAGTCAACAGGAAAGGTAACCCAGAACCAACCTTTGTATCCCTGCTAACCTCTGCGCCTTGCAGAACATCAACGCAATAAGAAATACAGAGAACAGTGCAGGTGCCTTGGGCGTTTGGGAGGCCTCAGATATTTGCATTGGTGAAGCATGTACAAAAACAGCAGTCTGTGTGTCTGTATAATCCTGGGGCGTAGCTTCATTCACCCCCAGGACGACAAAGGATGCATTCTGCGTCTACAGGTGACAAGCCAACGGTTTAAGATTTAACAAAAGCCTGAGTGCTGTCTTTGGTAGGCAATTGAAAAGTCTTCATTTATCATGTCTACCACAGTATGTTGAGTATGTGAATGAGCATCCCTCCTACACAGACAGACATTCTGCAACCTATAATGAGTAGTTGTTTGAGGTGTTAAAGACACTGTAGAGAAGAACAGAACACAAACAGCTCTTGAAGGCACCATGAGTTACAAAGAAAGATATCAAAGCTCTCTCTTACTCAGTGAGGCGAGGCCGTCAGCCTGAATAAATCACCTTTGAACAGGACAAAACGTTTTCTTTATACAATTTCACAGAATTGACCAACCCATTGGTTAATTTTAATATAATGACTTTCAGCATTATCTCAAAAACTGTGGCCTTCCAGAGACCTTTCTCAAAGCAACCCCCCACCCTCAGCATATCAACAAGCTTTCCACAGAACAAAGCAGGGTGTCCAAAGTCATTTTAGCACTAAAACACACACTGAGTTAAAGGCAATGTCAGCTACAGGTCTGAACTGGATCAGGTGGGTCCATCCATCTAAACAGAATCTCAGTTGGGGTTTTTTTTGCGCAAAAATGATGAAGGATCTTAAACCCAGGCGTTAAGATTATACATTACAGATCAAACAAACATCCAGGAAGGGAAATATTATAATAAAGGACAAGGTTCTTCTGTTACTTAAGTTTGGGGGTAGGTGGGCAAAGGAAATAGTGAATCGTATTGCCTGTTCCCTGTTTGAGCTCACATCTGGAAAGCTTAACACTAAGGTTTCTGCATGCTGTTGCATCGTGGAGGCAAAATTAAATACTAGCAGAGCTGGCACAGTGGTTGGGTTTATCCTACACCAGTGGTTCTCAAACTTTTTCTGTCAGGCCCCCCCTTTGGAGAAAAAAAAAAGTCGGGCCCCCCCAACACAAATAGTCAGGCTCAGTGGCGGCGCCAGAGATTCTGTTTTGGGGGTGCTGTGGGGTAGCTTGACGTTTCATAGAGGGTGCTCAAACATTTAGGGTTTCCCATTAATGTACTGGTCGCTACAGTGGAATGTTCTACTGCAACAATCCCCACACACACACACACAGTGTACCCGCGACTGTTACAATGAAGGCTCGATAATCAGCTCACGGCATATAGGTGTAAGCAGGGGTAAAGTGTTATTTTTATAGGTGGTGTGTGGACCTCACATAGGGGGGTCAGGGGGCAAGCTCCCCTGGGAAGATTTTTAAATATTGAAGTTAAAAGCATCAATCTGGTGCACTTTGAGAGCAACATGAAGAGATCTATGGATACATCTCTCAACACCCATTTGAAACAGAACTGTAAACAGATTTACTTTTTCTTTATGGATATTTTACAAATCACTCCCTTTTTAACGTTATTCTTTTTTTAATGTCATATAGTATTTCATACCTGTTTTTAATGTATTCTCTTA